AAAAAACAGAGTACTGTAGATTTCAATATAGAATTCTTTCACATCTTGCCAGGCATAGTGGCACACACCTGTAATCCCAGCACTCAGGAAGCTGAGGTGGGAGGATCATTGTGAGTTCATGACCAGCCTGGGCTACAAAGTGAGCTCAAGGCCAGCGTGAACTGCATGGCAAGACCCTGTCTAAAAAAGAAAAAAAAAAAACAAAAAACAGAATTCTTTCACATCTTTGGTTAGGTTAATTCCTGAGTGTTTAATTTTCTTGATGTTATTGTGAATGATATTGTTTTCTAATTTCTTTCTTAGTGGGTTCATTATTGGTATAGAGAAATAATATTGATTTTTGTATGTTGATTATATATCCTGCTATATTGCTGAGTTGGTTATTATTTCTAGGAGTCTTGATGGAATTTTGGGGTCTTCAATATAAAGGATCATGATATCTGCAAACAGTGATAATTTGACTTCTTCCTTTCCTAAATGTGTCCCTTTTATTTCTTTCTCTTGCTGGATTGCTTTGGCTAATATTTCAACTGCTATACTGGACAGGAGTGGTGATACTTGGCATCCCTGTCTTATCCTCAATTTTAGAGAGAAAGCTTTCAGTTTTTCCCATTTACTCTTTTTTCCCCTGTTTAATATTATATTGGTAGGAGTTTTGTTGTAAATGGGTTTTATCAGATTAAGATAGAGTACTTCTATGCATATTTTCTTCAGGGTTTTTATCATGAATGGATGTTGGATTTTGTCAAAGGCTTTTTCTGCATCTATTGAGATAATCGTGATTTTTCTCCTTGCTTCTGTTAATGTGATATATTACATTTATCAATTTGCATATGTTGAACCATCCTTGCATCCCTGGAATGAAGCCTAGATGGTCATGATGTATGCACTTCTTGATTCACTAGAGAAAGAGGAAGGGAAATGCGTGATATTTACTGAACAGTTACTGTGTTCCAGATCCTCCATCTATCATACCATTAACCACTGAAAACAATCCTTCCCAATAGGCATTTCTACCCTCATACTGCAGATGAGGGAATGAGATGGGGTGTGGGGGGTCATTGACATTTGTTCTCTTCAATCACAATGGAGCAGAGATGAGCTGTCCCTCCTGGGTAGGGGCCAAACTGCAGGTGTGTGAGCAGGACAGATGATTATCATTGTCTTAGGTTTTGATGTTTAGGGTACTGGTGTGTTTGTTATGCAGCAATAGATACTGGAACACCTCACCTCTCCAGGGCCTACCAAGTACCACTGAGTTTCCTTTTCAGTACTTCCTAAATCTACCATCTCCTCTTCACCTTCTCTGCTACCCTGTCTGTCACCTGGACAGCTGCATAAGCCTCCTCATCCACATCCTCTGCTCACTCTGAGGCACAGGCTGCCACAAACTGGAGTGGCTCTTGATGTTCCCTGGGAAAAATGGTGAGGGGATGAAGAAATAAAGATAAGAGACAAAAGCTGAAGTCAGGTGGAGCTCTCTGTCTGGATGGGAGGAAAGGAACTGCCCAAGAACTGCAGAGCATTTATCTATACACTCAGGAGGTTGATGTCAGTTTCAACCTCTCTGCTTAGCAACCTGTTTGCAAGCTGGAACAGCTTGTTTACATGGCTGGAGGAGCTCTCCATGTTCTCCAGCTGGCTTTGTCTCAGCTCCACAGGTGTGACTGATTTCCAGCTTCAGCCACTCCCTATAATAGGTTCCTATAGGTATACCCAGCCTGAGATCTTGCTGGAATGTGCAAGTTATTTCCCCAGGCCAGCTGTAGGCACTGAAAGCACTTGGTGGCTCTCCACTGCTCCTAGGGGCAGGACTTATCCACCCCTTTTCCCCCTTTGGGCTTGAGTCACACTGGCCTTTCTTCTCTTCTTTCAGTACCCCATGCTCGTTCTGCCTCATGTGTGGTACTGTCCTCACCCTTTTAGTTACCTCTCACACATGTGAATGAATGCCTCTGAGCCACTTGTTTTCCAGATGGAGTCCCTGACCAGCATCACTAGGAAACTGGCTAGAAATGAACATTCACAGGCCCAACCCCCAACTCAAGGAATCAGAAACCCTTGGGGCAGGTGGAGGCCAGCAGTCTGCAGTTAACAAGCCTTGCAGGAGGTTCTGATCTACCCATTTGAGAACTGCCACTCCGATGCCCCATTACAGGTCAGGAACTGTTACCTTCTCTCCCCAGATTCCTTTCTTTCAGAGGTTTGTGCTTGTGAGGACTCAGGCCTTTGTGAGATCATCTGAGGCATGTCGGTCCTTCCTGAAGACCTGAGCACAGGGGCAGCAGGGTGTGTGTGTGTGTGTGTGTGTGTGTGTGTGTGTGTGTATCAGAGATTTAAACCAAGAGCCTTACACATGGTAGATAAATGTTTTACCACTGAGCTTCCACTCAGCCCTCATTTATTGCTGCTTATAGCATCCCGGCACCTAGCCTGTGCCAGGCACATGCCAGCGTGTGATAAAGGATGTGGGTTGAGCAGATGTTGACTGTCAGCCTCCAGCTGGTCATGCACTCCGCACGGTGTGGGAAGTGGAAGGGATTGGTCCTTTCATGGCTCTGGGACCCTGAAAGTGGTGGGGGGGAGGAAGTGTTTGAGAACTGGAGGAGGCTATACCCTCTGCATGAAAGGGGTTGTTCAGAAGGCTAGGAAAGGGTGTCCAGAGACAGGATTCCTCCCATTTCCCTTCCTAGTCCCTCCCCCACCCTGTAGTCCTCAGCTGACTTCCATTGAGCAAGGAGCTCCACCTTGTGTGGACTGCATGTGATTTACATTATTAATACAACAAGCTTCTGAGGTGCACATTAGCATTCTCATTTTACAGATGGAGAAACTGAGACCCAGTGAGGTTCAGCTAAGGCAAGACTTGAACCCAGGCCTTCTGGCTGAGGCACTGTGCCTTGCCAGGAATGCCTGGGTGGAGAGCACTCAGATGGGGCAGGAGGGGAGGTAGCGCTGTGTGGAGCCAAATGAGTCCTACCACAGGGCAGCTCCAGCCAGGGTGGATGGTAGAACTGGGAGGCGGAGGGCCTAGTGCTGCCAGCCATTCCCAAATTCCCAAGAAAAAGTCAGAGAATGGATTTTTATATAAAATCTTCCTGTTGCTGAATGTTAGCAAACAATTATATTTTTAGAAAGCTCAGCTGGGCGTGGTGGTGCATGCCTGTAATCCCGGCACCAGGCTGGAAGGCTAGAGCAGGAGCAACGTAAGTTTGAGGCCAGTCTGTGCAACTGAGTGAGATCTCATTTCAAAATAAAAAATGAAAATCCTGCATCTGGTCACCAAGTTTGACAAAACAAAAACAAAACAAAACTCAGAAGCTTCCAGAGGTAAAGGCCTACACTTGGATGAGGTCGAGTAGCTGAACAATACCAGCAGCCCCCATGACCTCATGACTGTGTCAGTGCTGCTACTTCTGCTATCTGTGGGCAGTCTACTTAAATTCAGAGGTCTCCACCCTCAGCAGGATGCAGGGCCCAAATACCTTCATTGCTGTGGCCCCACTGTGAGAAGCTGGATCTGTCTGGTCACAGCTGTGTCCAGAGCACTGAGCTACATGCAAAAGATGCTCACTAAGTAAATGCTTGCAGATGGAGAATTCTGATGAGCTGCCTCCCTTCTGGTCTGCTGGCTCCTCCCCTTTCCCCCGCCCTGGGCAAGTGGGCAGGGTACTGGTGTGTTAAAAGCCAGCAGCTGGAGATCCCGTAGATGCTGTGTTCTTTTGGAGCTGGAGGCTTGCCATGGCTACCTCCTACCCCGTAAGTCCAGTTTCAAGCCCCTTCTGGGGTCAGGGACCAGCTGGGTGGTCCAGCGAGGGCCAGAGCTTACAGCCCGCCTTGATTTTCTTTGGTCAGGAGACTGAAGAAGAGGGTGGACTCCAGGAGAAGAAGGAGGAGGAGAAAGAGCAAGAGAAGGCAGAAATGGGGGGGTACACAGGAGAGAAGTCTCCAAAGTCTCCTGCGACCAGGACTCCATTGTCTTGGAGAGGAAAGGCCAGGAGTGAAGGCCCGGTGGAGGTCAAGTTAGAGCTGCACCCCCTGCAAAACAGGTCAGGCCAGCCTTGGGGCTCTCTGGCTGTGTGTCTTGGACAACCCCTTGCTCTTAGCCTCAGTGCTGCATGTGAAAGGCCAGACCTAGCAAAAGCCTCAGACCATTTGGCCAATCTGGCTTTAACCTTTGTGATTCTGGGTTTAACAGCTCACTTCTCCCCTGCACTTCAGGCTAGTAGACTTCACTCACCTTGGGGGAGTCTGTGCCCTAAATCTCATCTTTTAGCTTGAACTTGAAAGGAAGGGGATCTCCCCCTGAGCTCCAGGGCTGCTGGGGCAGACGTGGGGTGGGGGATGGGGGGCTCTCTGATTCGTCTTCCCTACCAGGTGGGCTCTGTGGTTCTTCAAGAATGACCGCAGCCGGGCTTGGCATGACAACTTGCAGCTGGTCACCAAGTTTGACACTGTGGAGGACTTCTGGGCGTGAGTGTCTCCTCCTCGAGGTGCCAGAGCCAGAGTCTTACAGCTGGGCATTGCTTGGTATACAGCTGGGCCTCCCTGGGGTCTTCTGCATTTGTTGATGATGGAGGCTCCTGCCCAGGGCCATCAGGATTGGGGCACAGCCACCCCTCGAAGCCTTGCTAGGGCTTAGGGAGGGAGCAGCAGGAGAGGGCTGTGGCTGCTCTTCCATGGCTTTGTGATCTTAGGCAAGTTCCTGCTTTCTGAACCTTAGCTAAAAAGTGATGGCTAGGCTACCTCAGAGTGTCTGTGGGTGATCAAGGGAGGAGGTGCAAGCCCCAGGGGAGGGCTCCCCCGCCCCAGGTGCAGGCTTCATGGGGCTTGGATCAGGGGATGCTCCAAGGAAAAGGTGCACTCTGAGGGTTTGATAAATAGGGACGCAATTCTGGGTAGCTGCACCCAAATGAGCAAAAGCTGGGAGGCCCAAAAGCCGAGGGAAATAGTGGATCTAATGAGGAGATGGGGGGTGAACGCCAGTTGGGCCAGGCCCCTAAAAGCCTTGGCTTTCAGCATTGGCGGGGTCGGGTGGGGGGTCTCTCTCTTCAGGATATATAGTCACATCAAGCTAGCTAGTAAGCTCTCTCCTGGCTGTGACTACGCCCTGTTCAAGGTAAGCTCTGCCCTCATGTCCCCCTCCCCTATAGGACAGGGCCCTGGTTGTTCACAGCTTTGGTTGCCTCCTCCCTCACAGAGGATTTGTGGGTGGGAAAGCACAGACAGCTTACGGGGCAGAGGTGTGATTTCTGATTGGAGGAGCTGCAGTATAGAAGCCCAGATAGGACAAAATGCATCAGACCTGAGCTGCACCTGAAGGACGCTTAAGTCTTAGAAGGAAATGTGGGAGAAGGGTGTCAGGGAAAGAGTCCAGGTCTCTGGCCTTAATTAGGGACAGGCATCAATGTTGTCAGACATCAGTGTTTAAAGATTCTCCCCGGTTACTTATGCCCAGAAAGATTTGCGGACCAAGCAGCCAAGCCTGGGATATCTACCCTTGCCCTGGTAATGTCTACTCTAGAGGCTTCCTAAAGCCATCTCTGTTTGAACTCTTTAAGGAATTTAATCCATTAAAGTGGACAAAGGTATACATAAAAGAAGGCTATAAAAGGTGACCAGTAGTGACGCTCAGGGGCCTGTGGGCACTCAGAAGGGGGTCCCCTGGTGGTTGGTAGTGATATCTGCTTATGCAGAGTGGATGGTGTTAAGACGTAAGCTGGCCTACTAGGGCCTGGGCAGAGACATGGAGATAAAGCTACATGCAGAGGAGCTGGGTCCCCATTTCCCTTTGAACAAAGGGAGGCAGGTGATCTGTCATCTTGCCTTGCAGGATGGCATCGAGCCCATGTGGGAAGACAGCAGGAATAAGCGAGGTGGTCGCTGGCTGATCAGTCTTGCCAAACAGCAGCGCCACAGCGAGTTGGACCGTCTGTGGCTGGAGACAGTGCGTGGCAGAGCTGGTGGGGGGGGGTGTCCCCAGAGGAAGAGGCAGAGCCTGGTGTAGGTCTCCAGGTTGCAGTGGTTGCAAGGGTGATCCCTGTAAGTCTCATAGTCTCTGCTTGGGTCCAGTTGCTGTGTCTGATTGGGGAGAGCTTCGAGGAACACAGCAGGGAGGTATGTGGAGCTGTCCTCAACATTCGTGCCAAGGGGGACAAGATCGCTGTGTGGACCAGGGAGGCAGAGGACCAGGCCAGCGTGATGCACATTGGGTGAGGGCTGGGTCCCTTCTAGGGAGGAGGAGGGTGGGGGCAGTTTGGCCTTCAGAGGAGACCTCTGGAATCTCCCTTCCCTTTCCCCCTTCTTCCTTACCCATCTGTATATCTAGATGCTGAACTATTTCTAGTAGTACAACTCTTTGCTTGCATTAGAGTCCTACTTTGGGTTTCTGTATGGGACACACACACACCCACCAGGAGTGGTTGCAAACAGGGTAGCAATTCAGTGGGCAAATGCTGTGAGCCTGGGTTACCTCCAGGCCCCTCTGCTGACTGTGTTTCCTCTCCTCTGTGCCCCATCCTCCAGGCGGGTATACAAAGAGTACCTTGGCCTCTCTGTGAAGACCATCATTGGGTACCAGGCTCACATTGACACGGCCACCAAGAGCAACTCTTTAGCCAAGAATAAGTTTGTGGTGTGAGGGGCCCTCGGCACCACTCTTAATGAGGGGGCCAGACATCCCTGAGCTTCTTACCACTGTGGGGTGTTGGGGAAAGGTGGGGCTATACAGCTGCTCCTGGGCAGGACTGGAGGGCAGATCACCCGGTTTTACCTGTCCTGAAGTGCACATGAACACTTTTTGTTTGTTTGGGTTGAAGGGATACTCCTGTGTCAGCCTGCTAAACAGCTTGGACCACAGGGACTTGCCACTTTGACTGGCGTCCTATGAATAGTCCTTAACGTGAGTTGGGCCCAGGCCTAGAGGCAGGGTGGTGGTGGAGACAGCAGTCTGAGCTCCTAGCTTTGCCTGGGGGCCACAGGGCCATGGCCAGGTGGAGGAAACTCTTGGATTTGCTCATCTTACCCGGAGACTGGAACAGCCTTTGTCCTCTCTTCTGTGGACAGGACTGCCGGTTGGGGCCAGTGGTACCTGTGCCTGGCCTGAGTCAGGGCTGGACTGAAGGAGAGGTGGGTAGATCAGCCCCACCCCAAGGACAGGAGCTAGGTGATAGCTGAGGCCTCACCCTGGTTTTGTTAGAGGTGGATTCACTTGAAGATGATGAACCTTAAGGCCCTTTCTGTACCTGTTCTAAATAAATACTTTTGAACAAGCTTGGAATTATTTTTTGGGGAAGACTTAAAGCACTTTCGATCTACCCGTCCTGTCTCGAAGGGGCTCACGTGAGACTCCAGGCACCGAGCCCGGGGCTAAGCGGGTGTAGGGGAAGAGTGAAAGGCCAGAGCCCTCAAATGCCAACGGGGTTGTAGCCAAGGGGTGGGGGACTGGCTCCGGCAAGACTGCAGGGACGAGAACAACAGGTGTGGACTCAAGACCCGCATCGTTGTTTGGCCTGAGTTAGGGCCGGTTATCGGTAGAGTTGAGTTTCTGTGAGTGAAACGTGATCTGATTTGACGGCATTGTAATTACACGTGCTGACGTGCATTAACTCAATCCGGATCCCCATCCGCTCACCCTGGCCGCTACAGCTTCTCGGGGGTGGGCTCGGACAACAAGGCAGAGGATTGGGGGCGATGGTACTGAGCCTGCGGCCACAAGCGCCTTTAGGGGGTGACTCTGGTGGGTCTGAAAGGACGCGGGGAGACCGACGCTTTTGCAGGCTCCTGGACTCAGAGGCGGGGCTCCGAGGGGACTGGGCCGTGCTGGGGGCGGAGCCTCGACGGGGCGGGGCGGCTCGGGAGCGGGGCTCCGAGGGGACTAGATTTTTTGCAGGGCGGAGCCTTGGAAGGGGGCGGAGCCTCGGCGGGAGGAACCGGCTCAGAGGCGGGGCTCCGAGGGGGCGTGGCCGCGCTCCGGGCGCCGGGGGCGGTCTCTGCGGGGCGCACTGTGTGGCCGCGGCCATGAAGCCGCAGCCGCCGGGCTAGGTCCCGGGCGGCTCCAGCCCAGGACGTCCCGCAGGGGCTGGGCCCTGTTCCCGGCCCAGTATCCGGGCCGGCGGGTGGCTCCTCACCATGCCTGGCAAGCACCAACACTTCCAAGAACCCGAGGTCGGCTGCTGCGGGAAATACTTCCTGTTTGGCTTCAACATTGTCTTCTGGGTGAGCGCAGGCTCTGCTTCGGGCCCTGTGCTGGGTAGGCGGTGGGAGAAGGAGGCTGAGTCCTCTGCTAGGGAAGACCACTCTCGGCACTGCAGGTTGGGGCCCGAGACGGATCCCGGACTCCTTCCAGCCCCGCGCTCGTCCGGTGACCGCCCCCACCCCGAGGGAATTACCGCGAGGCCCGGATGGCTGGGGGGCGGGGCCCAGCTACGGTAGTGGGTGGTAGTCTCGCCTGTGACTCCGGAGGCCGATCGGAAAAGGAAGGGTGCTTGCTCCGAGACCCCTGGTCCGCTCTAGGTGCTGGTCGCCCTCTCGCCGGGCCTCCTTGTGGGAGTACAAACCCCACCCTTGGTTTGGCCGGTGGGGAGGAGAGTCTGGCTCATCCCTGTCTCCTAATCCCCCCGGAACCTCGGTCTGGGGCCTCGCCCCAGGCTCCCGCAAAGTTGCGTGGGTCTGGCCCTCCCCGACCTCCGGCAGGTGCTGGGAGGCTTGCTGGCGGGGAGGGTTGGCAGCCGAGTCTTCAGCCCCTGGGAGCGAAGCCGGAGTCTTCCCCGGGGAACGGAAGCAGCATTCCACAGCTGACCTAGCCGGGGCTGGGTGGGACCGCCCCTGCTCCCAGAAAGGAGCTGCTACTGTCCCTCCCGCGGTGGCATCAGTGTGTGCCCCAGGCCCTGCCAAGTCATCTTTGCCTTCTCCCTCCCCCATTCCATCTCCAAAGCTGCAGCCTCTGCAGTCTCTGCTTCCGAGTCTCGGGTCAGAATGCCAGGCCTTTTCTCTTGTGTTCAGCAGGATTCAGTGGCACTGTTCTCCACCCACTTGCTGCTGGAGCCTGCCCCTGTGTGGGTGTCCTTGGGCCTCAGAAGTACTCAGCACCTGTTCAGGGAGCTCTAGCGAGGAGAGGAAGTCAGGCCTGGCTGTAGGCTGTGGAGCTGTGCGGCCTTGGTCAGGTCACCTCCTCCTTCTGGGCCTCAGCTTTCTAGCCCCAGAGCAGAGGATACTGAAGTTTGCTTCTCAGGGTTGTTGGAGCAAATGAGTTCTAGTGAGTTGTGGTCTCACAACCAACTCATCATGCGTTACATTTTACAGACGGAGAAACAAGGAGTAGGCACCGAGAAGTTAAGTTATTTACCTAGGGTCACACAGCCAAGCTGACAGCTGAACAGCAGTAGGTGGAGCATTGAGCAGAGGTAACCCTGGGCAGGGCAGTGAGGGGGCCCAGCGCTTGTGTTCTCTGTTAAGGCAGCATGGGACAGGGAGGGCTTCGTGTGGGAGTGATGGATCTGATCTGGCTTTTGTGTTGGAGACTCAGGAGATAGCAGTGTCACGGTAGGATGGAAAATCCTACCAGGGTTGTAACTTAGCAGGTGGGGAGATGCGACAAAGATGGGGTAGGGGAAGGCTACGTTCTGGGAAGGAGACTGAGGAGGAGCACGGGGAGGAAAGGGTAGAGTTATTCATGAAGAGATCAGGGAAGGAGGAAGTGTTGGTTAGTCCTGTCCGAGGGCTGGGGGCAGATGAAGTGGTATCAAAGCTGGAGAAGCGATGGACGTTGTCAGGCCCAGCATCAGGGAGGGAAAGGAAAATGCTTCCAGAGAGAGCACAGCTGTGGTGGAACCCAGGGTCAGGAAAGAGGATGGTTGGGGTGGAGTTGACAGGGACCGTCTCTTCATTTTTGGGTGGAATCTCTTTCCTTGAGAATGGATATCCAGGGAACTGCTCAGGATCGGGCCTAAGAGTGTAGGTCGCCTTGACATTCGCTTTTTCCATCAACGAGATGAGGCAGGAAGAGAGTGGGGAAGATGAAGATAGTGCAGGGGGGACAAGCATGGGCTGCTCAGGTCCGGAGCTGAATGTATTCTAGGGTGAGGTGGAGCTCTTCAGGACTGCACTGCATTGAGATTCTTTGTTATCCAGGGGTCACTGCTAGGAGCTATGAAATCCTGTTCTAGAGATGAAGGTTAAGAAGGTGGGGTACAGGTTGGGGGGATGATGCAGGTAGTAGATCTGGTGCTCAGTTGCACAAGGCCCTGGGTCCAGTCCAATCTCCAGCACACACCCACGAAGGTACTGTGACGTAGCAGGTGTTGAGGAGGGTGAGCTGCTAGTGTTGTGGGCAGGAAGGCTTAGGAACTGGGAGGGGGAAGCTAGGAGTATGGAGCTTTAGAACTGGCCTGGGATGGGAGCAGAGTTTGCTGCTACTGCTTTGGGTGGGAGTGTCTGAGCCATTTCCTGCTCCACTTTTAAGTTCCAGGACTGGATCCCTGAGGTCCATCCAGTTGCTAGAGGTAGCTTCAGTCCTCCAGGCTGCCCTGTGGGGAGGAAGTACTGAGATGTGTCCTTGGGAAGGTGGAAAGAACCCTGGACCTCGTTCTTGTCCTGTGCCCCTCCCCCTCTCCCTTGGCCCTGGGAGGCCCTGAGTTCTGGGGAAAGCCCTGGGTTCCAGGGAAGGATGCATGAGCGTCAGTGAAGGTCCTGGCACTGGTAGCCAGCCCTGAGCCATTTGCTGCTGTTCTTGCAGGTGCTGGGAGGCCTGTTCCTAGCCATCGGCCTGTGGGCCTGGAGTGAGAAGGTAGGCAGTGGGGTGGGGTGTGGGGCTCCCTGGGGGACAAGGTGTGGGAAAGTCTGCCCCTCACACATGCCTCTTGCTCCCCTGTGTAGGGCGTTCTCTCCAACATCTCTGCGCTGACAGATCTGGGAGGCCTCGATCCCGTGTGGCTGTTCGTGGTGGTTGGAGGTGTCATGTCGGTGCTGGGCTTTGCTGGTTGTATTGGTGCCCTCCGGGAGAACACTTTCCTGCTTAAGTTTGTAAGTGCCCCTCCTAACCTGAGATCCACCCCAACCCAATTCTGATAGTGTTGTTGGTGCTTAGAATAGGGTAGCTTTATTGTTATGCTGTTGTTATCATTAGATTCATGGTTTTTTTGTTTGTTTGTTTTTTGTCTTTTTGAGACAGGGTTTCCCTATGCAGTTCAGGCTGGCCTTGAGCTCACTTTGTAGCCCAGGCTGGCCTCGAACTCACAACGATCCTCCTGCCTCAGCCTCCCAAGTGCTAGGATTACAGGCATGCGCCACCATACCCAGCTAGATTCATGTTATTTTCATCTATTCAGGTCTTTTCTGTTTTAAGTGACCAAAATCCAGTGGCCTAATCATAAAAAGATACTTGTTAGCTCATGTAGAAAAAACCCTATGGTTGTGCTGGCCATGGTGTGTTTTGATCCAGGGAGCACCACAGTGTCCCTTGGCCAGCTCTCTCTTGTTCTTTCGGCCCTACTCCCCCTGGATGGTCTCCCTTTCCTGCTGAGAGAAGGATGCTCAGAAACAGGCCATAGGTTTCATCCTGCCCTCCTAGGAACTGGAGCTGGAGGCTGAGGCACTTTTCTCCCAACCTTTCTCCCAGAGTGCTTTAATTGCATCTTCTTTGCTGTGATTGGCTGTCTCTAGACCAATCCCTGTGTGTTGGGAGGAAGTAGTGCTCTGATTGGTGGGCTGGTGGCACACTCCCTGTCCTGTATCTAGGAATAGAGAGGTGTAGTTTGCTCCTTTCTGACTAGAATTGAAAGATGCATGAAGGGTGGTTTTTGAAAAAAGCAGATATGGTTACCAGACAGAGAAAAGGCTAGGTTGGAACAGTGCTGCCTTTTACCCTCATACAACAGTACTATAAGGGCTGGGGGTGTATCCCAGTGGTAGAACACCTGCCTCCTTTATGTAGAGCATTGGGTTCAATCCCTAGCAGCATGGGTGTACAAGAAAAGGAAACAGGACTCCAATCAAAGAGGATGGGAACGGGGGACTCTGGCCTCCCTTGGGTCTTGCTGGAGATAGGGTGGAGCTCTTCTCTGCAGTGCCTCAGAGGCTGCATCTCCAGCCCTCGTGATCTTTGTGCCCCAATACAGTTCTCTGTGTTCCTTGGCCTCATCTTCTTCCTGGAGTTGGCGACAGGGATCCTGGCCTTCGTCTTTAAGGACTGGATTCGAGACCAGCTCAACCTCTTCATCAACAACAACGTCAAGGCCTACCGGGATGACATCGACCTCCAGAACCTCATTGACTTTGCTCAGGAATATGTGAGTACCTGAGAGGGAGCAGATTCCCCGGGTACCAGCACCACGCTTCACCCCGCCAGTGGGCTCCAGGGAAGAGAGACGGCCGTGCCCCTGTCCAGGGAGCTCCTGGGTCCTCGTGCGCCAGCCTTGTAGGGTCACAGGCTTGGGGAGTAGGACAGAGGCTCCTAACTAACAGCTCCCAGGCCAGGGCTTATGACACACTTAGGTGGAGATTACATTATTTTTGATGTAAAAATATAGGTTCCCCCCTCTACTAAGCCCTGGGCCCAAAGTATTGGCTAGAGCTACTTTGCGGTCACCCCTTTACTAGAGGGGGTGCTCTCTGTCATTATCCCCAATGCAGTATTTTATTATACCCATCAGATTTTAAGTAAAGCGACTGAATTTCGGCTGTTTATAATTCTAATTGAGAATTTAAGGGCATGATAATTTTTTTACCAAAACTGAATCTGATAATTTTAAGTATCATACCCATCAGCCATCTTCTCTCATTTATGTCACTCACTCAGCACTCAGCACGGGGGCCCGTTCTGATTTTGTCATCGTACAGACACAGCGTACACTTTCACAGACTTAGATGGTTTGAGGTCACCCGCTTGCTGCGGCCTCCTGATGAAGTCGAGAGCTTTGGTGACTGCAGGATGAGTGACGCTGCTGTCTGTGACACAGCATACTGTTTCATAGTCAGGTTTTTTGAGACAGGACCTTGCTACATCACCGAACCTCAGACTCCTGGCCTTCAGCCATCCTCCCACTCAGCCTCGCAGGTAGCTGAGACTGCGGGTGTGTGCCACTGCACTTGGCTTGAAGTTTTTAAGTGAATAGAAAGAATCCACTTCAAAATAGTGGTAAAAGTATAACATAGTAAGTACATAAGCCAGTGGCATTCCCTTATTATCATCATCAGGTATAACGCACTCAGTATAATTGCATGTGTGATATTTTATATGACTGGCCACAGTTTATTTACACCAGTGTTACCACACACAGGAGAGTCATGTGTTGCAGTGTGGCCCGTGACAGCTCCGGCATCAGTAGAAAGGTGCTCTTTAACGCCACAATAGTCTGTACCCTCGCTGATAGACACGGGACGCTGTGCATGGCCTTCTGTCTTTGGCTTCTGAACATAGTTAGAGACCCCGGGAGCAGCTCTGCCCTCTGTGAACCTAACTCCTGAGAAGCAGCAGCCGGAAAACAGTTTTTGAAACCTCGAATGCCTCCCACCTGCATGTTCTTGCCCACTCACACCACACCTGATCCCCCAGTCACAGTCACAGGCAGTTGTATTGACAGAGCCACGGGCCCTGGCCACCATTCATCACCAAGCATCAGCCCTGGCGCCCAGAGATGCCCCAGGCCCGGCGCCTGCCTCGAGGAGTTCTTGCCGCACAGCAGAGGCAGACGTGGAGCCAGGGGATTGCGGCTCAGCACAGAATTGAGACAGACCTTCCACTTGCCAGCCGCTGTGCTAAGTGTGGGGATTTGGTAGTGTAAAAAAGGTGGCACTTACCCTCTTAGGGATGGCAGTCGGGGAAGAAGTGGATGACAAGCAAAGCAGACGTGTGTGTGTGTGTGTGTGTGTGTGAAAGTACAGACTGTGGTCAGGGATGGAAAGGAAAGGGTGGGAAAGGGAAGGGCTCTGAGTGGTGACTTTGAAGCCTCCCAGCGGAGGGAAAGGAGCAGTGCTGTGAAAAGAGGGCGCGGTGCTTCTCCGGCTGGCGCTGAGCAGGTGAGGGGCCGGTGTGCGCTCAGAGCCATGCGGCTATGCCTTGTTCCCGACTTGGTCTGTGGGGCCCCCATTAGGGCGCCACTTTCAGCTGAGGCTTGGGCTCTTGGTTCACCATTAGGGTGTGGGCTCCTGGTTCCAGGCAGGGTTCTTGCCCTTGCCCCGTCTAGGGAGGGAGCATAGGATGCTCCTGGAAGCGGCAATGGCAGCAGGCAGTTGGGACCCGGAATGGATGGGTGGCTGTGAGGGTGGCAGAAAGGGAGTGTGTGTGTGGGGGGAAGGGTCCCTCTCCTGTCCTTGCACAGAAGAAAGTCTTTGCGATCTCTGGGCCAAATGTGGGGAGACCCAGTGCAGACCTGGGCTTCGGTGACGCCTTTGTCCTCACAGAGCTTGGCCTCTCTTCAGCTCTGGGAGGTTCTGAGAGAGCCGCCCTCCTTGAGCTGGTGTCTATCTGGCCTGCCATGGGTTTCTCGGGGTGGGGGATAGAGACTTCCTTCCGCCTCCCCTACCCTGTAGCTCTAGGCTGCTGTCTACTCCGATCCCTTTGGGCCGAGGCCTGGCCTATCTGCTTGGGGGTGGGGAGTTGCCCACCTGCCTGGTTCTCTCTAGGTCCCCACCTAGCTAGCCCTTTGTCCTTGCAGCCAGGTTTGTCCCCCTTGGGGTGACCTCCCTGGGTGGGCCTGGCTGTCGGCCACGGGCCTGCTCACCTGGGGCTCTCCCCTGGCCCCCAGTGGTCTTGCTGCGGAGCCCGTGGGCCCAATGACTGGAACCTCAATATCTACTTCAACTGCACTGACTTGAACCCCAGCCGGGAGCGCTGTGGGGTGCCCTTCTCCTGCTGCGTCCGGGACCCTGCGGTGAGTAGGGCCTGGTGAGGAGGGATGAGGGTGAGACAGGGTACAGACCTTGCCTGAGGAAAACCCCCCACATGGTCTGCTCAGCTCTGCAGGGCCTGGGGCCTGTGTGTGAGGGGCTCCTTTCAGCCAGCATGTCCACAGGCATGTAGCAGCCTATTTGTGAAGTGGCTTCTCTTCTCAGCAGAGCCTGGCTCTGATTGTGGTGGGGTGGACACAGAAGGGCCCTGGGGGATGGGCACTGCTTCCAAGGCCTCCTGTACCCTGTGTTGCACTAGGGGCAGCTCTGGTGGGAAGCCCCCTTACCTCATCACTAACTGGCCCGTTTCCCTTCAGGAAGATGTCCTCAACACCCAGTGTGGCTATGATGTGCGGCTCAAACTGGTGAGGGGCAGGGATGGGTGGGGGCAGTTGGGGACACTGGGAAGGGGAGGGGGTCCTTGTATGGGCTCCACTGAAAGGCCTCAGGGATTCTGTGGGAAGTGGGTGCTGTAGACGTTGGGTTGGTACTGGGGACCCACAGGCATGGGCCCAGGTGGGTTGCTCATCCCACCTCTTTTGAGCACTTGCTGTAAGGCTGACATCGCCCTAGACCTTGGAATTCATTGCTAGTGAGATGGAGCCCTGCCCTCAAAAGGAGCAGCGAGCGTAAGCTCATAGCTATAAATACTGACAGCCGTGGCAGGTGCAGCTGAGAACGTGGACAGTGACTGGATAGGGTATGGGCAGTCAGGGCAGGCCTCTCTGTGGAGGAGGCGTCCATGCTGAGACCCTGGGAGGAGGACACGGCTGTGCACGGGCCTTGTGAGCAAGCTCCTGAGCTGGGATGCGCTTACTCGGCACGCTGAAGGACACAAGGGAGAACAGGGTTGGGATGAGGCCCGCAGTGGCAGATAGCCTGAACCTGGTGCCTGTGTGGCCGTAGGAGCTGGAGCAGCAGGGCTTCATCCACACCAAAGGCTGCGTGGGCCAGTTTGAGAAGTGGCTGCAGGACAACCTAATCATTGTGGCCGGGGTCTTCGTGGGCATCGCCCTGCTTCAGGTATTGCATGACCACCGCGCCCCTCCCCTTGCCCAGAGCCCGTTGCTCCTCCTTCACCTGTCCTCTGTCTTACAGATCTTTGGCATCTGCCTGGCCCAGAACCTCGTGAGTGACATCAAGGCAGTGAAGGCCAACTGGTGAGGCTGCCAGGGGCCATGGCCACACGCCTGGCGCACCTAGGCCGCTTGTGGGGGCCCCCAGGACCCTCCTTCTATGCTTGTGATGGGCAAGGCCCAGGAGGTTCCTGCTCGGACCTGAGCCCCGAAGGGGTTCATGAGCATGGAGATTCTGTCCGCCCACAGGGAAAGCCACTGTGGCAGCCCCAGGCTGCTTGTCCTAGAGCCCTGTGTGCATGGAGGGGGTGTGTACAAGTGTGTATTCACACACATGCGCAGGGGAGTCACCACCTCAGCAACTGTCAGGGTAGGGAGCTCTCCAGGGGGCTGGGAAGTGTGCAGCTAAGGGATGCAGGCCAGGCTGGTTGGGGGCTGCTGTGGAGAGGTCTGCCTATGTCCTCCTGGCCCATGCTGGACACCCCTCCAAGCATGGCTATGTTGGGTGGGCTTTGCAGCCTGCTGTTACCAGCCACTGCCTTACACAGCTCCAGAGCTCTCTTTACTAGCTCTGACCATGAGCTTGCCTAGGAGCCCACCTTGGCCTGTATCCCAGACTCTGACGAAATAGGTCCAAGAATTTTCTCTCTCTTGCTTGCCTCTCAGGATCAAACATGATGATGGCTACAAACTGCTCAAATAAACAAAACTTTGAAAACCACTGGCTTATGCCCACCACCTTGGAGGTTCTGTCAGCTGCACGGTCTCACAGAGCTCTCCAGCAAGGGCTGCTGGCCCAGACCCACCCTCCCAGCAAAGCTTCTTTGGCCTGGGTAGTTTATACATTTGAGACAACCTTTAAAAAATGGGCATATTTCACATAAAAGTCCAGATGCCCTGCTTCTCTTGAAGAATGACCATCTGGCCACACCAGCGCTTCCGTGGCATTGTCACCGGGACATAAGCTTCCATGGTCACTGAGGCCCCGTTTGGCCTGTTCTCACCTAAGTGCCCCGCCTGACCTCCATGGGCTGGGAGTTGGCCTCCCTCCCCCTCTTTGGATTATCGCCTGCAAATCCCACAGGCAGCTGTGGCAGAGACTGAAGCGAGGCACAGGGATATGAAGAATGGGGAGACTGGACCTCATCCTGAAGAGGGGCTGGCTGCAGAAGGGTCCAGCCCTGCTGGGGACTGAGGTGGGTGCCAGAGTGCCCAGGAAGGTGGCTGAATGGTGGGTGGGGATCAGGAAGATGGTGCAGATGAAGTTGCTGGAATCCCAAGGTGTAGCACCTAGAGGGTCGAAAGGAACCTGTTTTGGGGCCACGGATGATGGTTCTTAGCAGCGATGGAAAACCTTTTAGAGCTTTCAGTGATAACAAACATCCAGCTATGGCACATGTGCCCTAGGTTCGCCACCACTAGTTCTTAGGCATGGGTGGAATCAAGTTGGCAAAGCTTCCTGTGGCCACTAGAGGGCGCACCAGCACAGCATTTCCTAGGTTTGGCTGTTTTCCTTCCCAACCTCACCCCAGCAGAATAAAGTCTGCCCCTCTTCCTAGCACTTCAGAGTTGGCTGGATTTGAAAACTTGTAAAGGAGCAAAATAGCTCAGGCTTGGGAAGTTTGCTTCTCGATTCTGCGCTTTCACAGTTGTACTCTGAAGAGGCGCGTGGAGTGGCCCTGCCTCACCTCCCTGGGCCTGCAGGAGACAGGGGGGAGTGGATGAGCTCAGAGGTCTCAGCTCAGATTCCCTCAGGGCCTGGCAGGTTTTTGCTGAATGAAGTTGGCCTTAGAGAGCTGAGGCCCGCTTCCCTTTGACAGCCGCAGTGGATGGGGACAGGACACAGCAGTTGGTACCATCAGTGATCATGGCCTTCAAGAACAGTGGGGTGAGGCGGGCACTGTGTGGCGGGTGGTCTGGACATGCTACAATAAATGCGGCTCCAAATGCAGCACAGGTGTCTTGCTGTTTGGCTGGTTGGGCTTTCTTTTTTGAGACAGGGTCTTACTTTGCCATTCAGGCAGGCTTTGAAATTGTAGCAGTCCTGCCTCAGCCTCCTGAGTGCTGGGATTACAGGAGGGTGTTGTTACTCCAAGCTCTTGCAGTTCTAAGTTTCAAATGCTTTGGCTTTTCTTTTTTTTTTTTTTTTTGAGTTTTTCTCCGGTACCGGGAACCGAACTCACGACCTTGCACTTGCCAGGCAGGCACTTTTGCCGCTGAGCTAAATCCGCAGCCCCTGCTTTGGCTTTTCAAATGCTTTGGCTTCCTCAAACCTTACAACACCCTTGTGGAATTTCTTTTCTTGATGAGGAAAAGGGTTCAGAGGGGGGAGGGAGGTGCCCCAGAATACACTGCTGGCGGAGGTCCCAGATCTGACCCCTGTGCTAGGGTTTTGCCGTATATTCACGCTACCTTGATAGCTCTGGGTAAAACCCGTGTAGGTGAAGTATCAACCAGTAAAGGCCACAGGGTGTTACTCATCCTGCAGGTGTGCTGAGCACCTGCTCAGGTGCTGAGCGCAGGAGAGAGAGTGCACTGCATTCGCACGGGGGAGACAGCGAGCAAGTGCTTTGCAGAACGTGAGTTTGGGGGCCTGGAAGGGTCAGCGTCTCTGACACTCTGGGGAAAGTGTTCTAGGTTTTGCCTTCAGCTTCTGCAGAGTCCCCAAGGCCACTGCGCTTTGGTATGAGGACGCCCAGGGTGGCTGGAGAAAGGGGAGTGGGTGAGGGGCAGAGGGAGCAGGTGGAGGGAGTGATGGAGCAGGGTGTTTGGAAACGAGACCGGGCAGGTGGGCGGGAATGATGGGTAGGAGTGGTGACCTTGTTTGGGGCCCAGAGTGCTCCAAAGCTCAGGGCATCTGTTACGCCCACCCACCTGTCCATCTGTTGTTAATCCCTCCTTTCCTCTCTGTCCCTCCTCAGCGCGCTGTCGTCCACTCAGGTCAGCCCTGGCCAAAGGCTGGGAGCCGGAGGCAGCTCTGACCTGCCCCTGCCCTCCCTGACCCCGTTTCTTGGCAGAGGCAGAAGGCAAGAGTTGCTGGGGTGCAGTGGGTACATGCTGAGCACATGGTGGTCGTGCTAGGTGAGGTTTGGGGCTTGGTAGCAGCTTTGTTTCCCGCAGAGGACACGGCACAGTTCTCTGTACCATGGGGCCCCTGCCCACAAATGCAACCTTTCCAGGTACAAAGGGAGCTATAAGCTGACTCCATGCATCCCTTTAGTTGAGGCCCTGGTCCGCGGGGACCCAGATCATCCACCCCGTGTCAGGACAGCGTGCACACTGGTTGGTAGTGATAGGGAGGGTGGAGGGCATCTGCCAGCTTAGTCCTCCAGGAGCCCTGGACCTACCTAATCTAACTACACACAGGAGAAGCTACCAGCAGCTCCCCCACCAGCTCGATGGGAGGACATCTCTGACTCCAGGATACCCCAGACACGGAGCCAGAGGAGGGGACGAGAAGGGACTGAGAAAGCTAGGTTGAGAGTGGTCTGAAGAGCTGACTGATGTCCTAGGAGGCTGAGGTGGGTGAGCACTAGAGGGTACCAGAGTGCAGCCCATGCCTCATACTCTGGTCAGCAGAGGGCAAGATTGGCAGCAGATGAGGGGCCGCCATGGGACCGGTCCTGTGGTGAAGCAAGGGCAGGCCAGTATTCCAGAAACCTGGGAATGCTGTTGGTGCCAAATTCAGGCCTTATCTGCTCTGTCTTCTCTAAGGCCTCGGAGGGAACCGCACTGCACGCCCGTGTATGCCTTTAATGGTGGACAGAGAGACACGAGTCTGCCTGGGCTGGTGGGCACAGCGCTTGCCAGCAGAACTTCGAGAAGTGTGTGTGTGATGGATGGTGTCACTTTCTTTAGGATGCTGGAGCACACTCCTCCATTTACTAAGCACCGTGTGTTCTGGGCCTTGTTGTAGGCACTTGGGATGCAAAAGAACAAAACAAAGATCCGCCAGGTGCCCCACAGAGCCGTCCCGATCAGGGGTCTGCGCGCTTCACCTGCAAGGGGCCAGTTAGTGTGCTAGATTTTCAAGTCCTATAGCTGCTCGGTTTCTGCCCTCATGGCAGACAAGACCTCAACAAAGAGGCATGTGCTGCTGTAATGTTTTATTTCCATACGCTGAAATTTGAATTTCACATAATTTTCAGATGCCATAAGCTGTCATCCTTCTTTTGATTTTCTACCATTAAAAAAACAGAAAATTAGCTCTGGAGCTGGACTGAAACAGGCTGTGAGTTGGACTCACCTCGGGCTGGAGTTTGCTGGTCACTAGGAAGGAGGGGCTCGAGCACAGTGCCATCATAGTGGGGACCTGTGCCTGGGTGTTGTGTGCCCTGGAAATGTTAGCGCCAGGTAAGGGCACTGAGGGGGCAGGGTGGTTAGAATGGGCCTCATTGAGGAAACCAAATGGAGCAATGGCCTTTTAAGATATTTTTGATAGGGGCTGGGGATTTAGCTCAGCGGCAAAAGCGCCTGCCTGGCAAGCGCAAGGTCGTGAGTTCGGTTCCCAGTACCGGAGAAAAACCAAAACCAAAACCAAAAAAAAAAAAAAAAAAAAGAAAAAAAAAGATATTTTTGATAGCGCACAAAAAATAGGAGCCCATTCTATCCTTAAAAAACGGATAAAAGTAAAAGCTCTCTACGGTGCCCTTTTGTCCCATTCGGCCTCCTCCAGCATAAGCTGCACCCTTGTCCCTCAGCGTCATGGAGAGAGGGTTGCAGGGCCCCGGTGGACATGAAATTCACGGATGCTCAAGGGCCTTATGTAAAGTGACACATTAACTTGCGTATAAACTAAACACATCCTCCTTTACATTTTTAAAATTTTATTGATTGATTGTGGTTGTCTTGGTTACTTTTCTCTAGTTGCTGAGACAAAATACCCAACACCCAAAATTAAGGAAGGAAAGGTTTATTTAGCTCACAGTCTGTGGAGATTTCAGTCCATATGGCTGGCTCCAAGGCAGGGTGGCACATGGCAGAGGGCAAACAGTTCATGGCTGCAGAAGACAGCAAAGGCAACAAGAGCAAAAGGAGGAATGGCGGGATTCCCTTACTTATGCAAACTATCCACCCCAGGGCAGGTGTGGTACTCACATCATCTCCATGCCCTCCTCTTGCACAGGCTCAGGATGAATACAAAGTAAGCACCCCGGCTCCCTCTGAATCACAGAGTCAACCTTCTAAACTTCTCACGTTGACCCAGTGAACAACATCCCAGGAGGGTAAGGGCTTGTCCTGTTCACCCCAGGATGTAGAAATGCTGAGTTACTTAGCCAAATGTCTAGACTCCCGAGGTTGACACAGTGTATCAACCATAACAGTGGTGTTGAACTCAAGGTCTTTGTATATTCCTAGCCTTTAAAAAAAAAATTTTTTTTTTTTTTAAATTTTGGGATAGGGTCCCACTAAGTGGTCCAGAATGGGCTCAAACTTGTGATCCCCCTGCCTCTGCCTCCCAGACTGCTGGCACTATAGGCGTGTACCGCCATGCCTGACCTGAAGTCATTTTTAACTAATAAATCAGAACATACAAAGTGCACATATTAATACCATGTGATGTTTCAATGCATGTATACATTGCATTAGGCTTAAATCGGGTTAAACGTGTTTATTTGCTCAAACATTTGTCATTTCTGCATGGTGAAACTGTTCAAGCTGCTTTTAGCTTTTTGCAGTGTATATTACATTATCACTACCCATTGTTACCCCTAGTGTGCTATTGGGTCGAACTTCCTGCTCCTATCTAACTGTAACTTAGTACCTGGGATCAGCTGTCCCCGACTCCCCTGAACTCCATGTCCTTAGCCTCTGGCAACCACTGTTCTACTCTCAACTGCTATGAAGTCAACTTTTTTAGATTCTACATGTGTGAGTGTGCAATATTCGCCTTTCTTTACATGGCTTATTTAACTAACATAATGATAATGTCTTACTCTTCAGGTAAGACAGACAGCACTCCTTTGCTTGGACCTAGGTTCTCATTTCTGCTTGTCAGCCTGCCATTGGCTCAATGTGCAGCATTTCCAGACCTGGGAACCTTAACTCAACCCATCAGATGTGTGCAGGACACACAGTTAGCCCCCTGGCCAATCCATGGTAATGCCTCCCTGGTTCCCTTTGCAGTTGTATGGAGAGATGAGGATGTCAGTGCCCTGCATAGAAAGCCGTGTGGTGGCCCAAGTGTCCATCCAGCCCTTGACTGAGGGTGCCGTGGGTGCTCAGGGCCCTGGATACACCTGTACATCCTGTCCTGCCTTCTGGGTGTGCTCTGTGGGAATATGCTTTCTATGTCTGCTTCCTGCTCTTGAGAGCTGTTTCCTTGAGGCCAGCCCTTTCCCAGGCCACACCAGCATGTTCCCTGAAGCAGGGGCTCCCTGCAGGATTCTACATGGAATTCTAGCTGGCTCAGCCATCCTCCAACATGTGCAAGAACCTCAGCCTGCCAGGTCATGCTGGGCACGGGGAATTCAGTCCTGACTCCAACACCGTCCCTGTCCCCAGGGGCTTCACATTCTGGTGCAAGACAGACACGCACACCACCTGTCTCTGAAAGTGATTCATTTGTTCACATAGAAGCTACACAGGCTGGTGGTTAAAACCTGCACACTGCATGGGAAGATAGGTGCGAAGGCTTCTCTGACCCCAAGTCGTCTCCACTTCTCTGAGGGCAGCCCCTGCCACCAGTCCAGCCTGTGTCTTTCCAGAGATGGCCTGTGCATTAGAAAGCAGATCTCAAGAAACAAAGCGAGCCAGAAGCCAATCCACAGCGTTTTGCACTGACCAGCATTTCTGTGAGATAATTACACATCACTATGTATAGATCACCCAGTTCTTTCCAGCAAGAGCAAGCTGATACGATAACGCAGACTTGCACTCTATATGGGGGATGCTCCTTGGAGCACTTTGTTTATATTAACTGACCTACTCCTGGTCACAACTCAAAGAGAC